ATGATGTCTTTGCGCGATCTCCTTAGCAGCCGGGGAGGGCCCTTTGGTGCGGCCTGGGATGCCCTGGCCCAGGCTCTCCAGTTCAGAGTTCCGATGCTCTGCGTCGCGCAGGCGCTGCAGCGCCGGTGTACAGACCCGGCCCCGAGGAAAACTTCGAGGTCCGCTACAATCTCCCAGCTGAAGGTTTTCTGCTTTGGTCAGCTTCGTGGCTTCTGCATGGCAGAACTCACCGGGCTTGTGCCATTCCCTGAGCTTTGTGTTCGTAGTTCGCCTTGCATGTCATTAAAGGTTCTGTCGTCTTTCTTCATTGCACAGCCAGACACACGCCATACTTGAGCAAGACAGTCAAGCAACTGGGATCAGGGTGGAGCAACAGAGTCTGTTGTTTCCTAGATCCTATTTGTCGTAACCAAGCTCTAGTTGTCTTTGCTCATGCCATGGACGACACGGCCTGCCGTGAGCCGCAAAAGGCCCGCTTTGGGGTTTTTGTTTAGGCTCTCTGATGCTGCCTGTGCTGTACCTCGGTGCGAGAGCCGGTAGAACTCTGTAGAACGCCATACTTTGGGTCTGCACGCCATAGATACCTGCGAGGGCATCAGACAGAAGTCTCATTCTGGAACCCGAGCTCCGCAATTTCGAGGCTCTAGAGGCTAAGGCAAGCGTCCTATCCTTGAAGTGAGCACTGCATAGTCATCTCAAGCAATCTCAGATGCTGACAAGGTTCCTTTGCAGCAGCAGTATAGGGCTCAGAGGGTTCTGCGTTCTCACTTCGGCGAGACTGAGTCGATTTGCCCGCTCCGGGCTCCTATGTGAAGCGAACTTCGGTGCAGGGTTTCTTTGGGAGGAAGCTTTGTGAAGCTGTGGGGCCAAGGGCGCACTGGAGGCCACCATGGCCATAAATGCCAAAGGTTTCAGACCATGTCGGTGCCGGCAGCTGCCATGTCTGGCTCAAGGCCACAGCCAACAAAATGCCGGAATCCCACAGAGAGCCCTACAAAGTCACGAAGCCATGGCAGGATTGCAGCACCCGATGTCTAGCAAAGCCCGCAGAAAGTGTCGAGCGAGCTTGTAGCAACTGCTCGATTTGCGACAGAAACTTTCCCATGGGACAGGACCCGCTCAGATGTACGGATCAAACAGGTGGAACGTAAGACATGGTTTGAGCAATGCAGAGGGGCCAAAAAACACATTCCCGAAATGCTCGCATGCATGCACGGCAAGAAGCATCACTGCAAACGCATTCTGCTAGTTCAGCTCAGCTGCTTTTGTTGTGGCATTGTTGCAGAAGATACAGGCTATCTGGATTGGCTTTGCCCGTTCTCGAACTCGAAACGCCGAGTCAACCTTGTACATCAACTGCGGACTCCTTCAACCGAACTGGAAACTCCGTGAAGCTCGCTGGGCGGAAGCGATCGTTCCGTATCTGAAGTCCAATCAGAACCCTAAGGCCAAGCTGGTACCGGTTCAGCCTGCCAGGAGACCAGTTGTTGTGCGCAGAACTGCAAAGGCGCGCAGAATTGTAGGGCCACGGCCACCGTCGAGCACCCTGGCTTTGCGTTTACCAGTCTGGCTTATTTAGGGTTTGGATCCAGATTTGTAAAGTTTGGTTCGTCTAGTTCTTGAGTAGGCCCATGGAAGCCTCAGTGCAGTGGCAGTGATGGAACTGACACGAACGGTAGGAGTCGCCGTCCAGGTTAGGGTCCTGCCAACATGACAGGCACGTCTGGAATCTAGAATGCCGAAGCGAGCGAGCTCCTGCCCGTGACCAAGGAAGGAACCAGATCATCCCACCGTTGTGTCGGAGGGAGCCACTCCGGACGGGGGTTGGCAGAAGTTTGGGACATGAATGCTGGCTGCTAGTACTGGATGTGACTACGTTGTGACGAGGATGTCTCATCAAGACGGAGAGTTGTCGATGCTTCTGTCTGGAACTGATGTGAGCCCAGAACCTCGGAAAGGGCAGCTCAAGTCGAGCTTAGATGGACCCACAAAAACCTGGAAGCCTTGGCTTCTTCTGGGCAAATGAACTGACGAGATGAAGCATCAACCCTCGCTGCGTGCAGCTCTTACTTTGGATTCCACGCATTCTAACATGTTTGCATTGCTTACCTCGTGTGTACAGCTTTGCACAGTGTGAGAAATCTGGACCGAACACCCTCTGCAAAGCCATTGCCTTGGAGCAGTATTGAGCCGATTCCATCCCAGACAGTTGCAAACACATCTTGCTGCCTGCCATACACCGTGCCTATCTTGGCTGTGGGCACCCACGACATCCGGAATGTCAACAAGCATGGATGCAGACAGAGACAGACAGAGACGGGACAGACCGACGGACAGACGGATAGAGACAGACGGACAGCCGCGACAGAGACAGACATACAGAGAGAGACAGACGGACGGACTGACGGACTGACACACAGAGACCCACACACAGACAGACAGAGACAGACAGATACAGACAGAGACAGACAGAGACAGACAGGCGCACAGACAGACAGAC